GCAGGAAACAGACATTTAATTATAAAACAGGATTTATTTGATGTTAATCTGAATCAGTTTAGTGTTTGTAAGTATATTTGACAGTTTTGTAGGAATGAACACGTTTGTAATGTTTGTTCAAAATAAACCTGCTTCGTATGACTTCTGTAACATGTTTTAAATAAAATATCATCAGTAAAAACCTCAAATCATGTCCTTTCTAAGAATCATTAGAACTCTAGAAGAACTCTAACTCTTGTAGAAATAAAAGATAACAGGTAAAAATGCAACTATCAAAAAACATGCTCTCAGTCACTGAGAATAATTTATTTACCACATTTTAAAGACTGATTATAATCTGGCCCGTTAATGGTCAATGCTCCTGAACGGGCCTGTCTGACCTGTGGTGTGTGTGACAAGAGGAGAGGCGCTCAGCCCAGGACCTGCAGACTAACAGCAGCTCATTCTGTCTGGATTTATGGTGTTTTCACTTCACAAAGGACTCTAGTTACTTTTTTAAAAGTTGAGGGACATTACAGCTCGTAGCTGCGCTGCTGATCAGCACTGTTTATTAGAGCATGACTGGACTTGCGGGAACCTGGTCACATGCGGGGTCTTTGTTGGTGATTCTTGCTGTAATATATAAAAGTAATTATTGATAAGGTAACCATGCTGTGGCTTCAACTGTCGCATTTTCTTTTAAAGAAAGAAAAAGTAGCTTTCAAAGCTGTCACATCTGTGCTACGTGATTTAAAAAAGCAGTTTTCATCTCACATCTAATCTCACACACACACACATGTGTCTTTCTATCTTTGTGAGGACCACACACAGCACTCACAGCCTCACTCTGTGCTGTCTTTTTTCCCCAAGTTTGGCGAGAGGTGGATATGGAGGGCCGCAAAAACAGCTCTTGACTTGATTTGGCCTTATTTTTTTTTTTTTTAAATTACTACATGATGTGAATTTCTTGGAGGGGCGGGCTGTCTCATTGGTGGGGGGGCGCCCCCCTTGAATAATAGTAGGGGAAACGCTGGTCTTAATTTGGAATAATGCACCCTGTGTACTACCTTAAACTGAATAAGTGAGAAGCGGGTACGAGGAAACTTTACTAACCTTGCCTAGAACATTTTAAGCTTAAGGTTTAGCTCGTGCTCCCATACGGTCTTAGTTTACAATTAGAGTTGTCATTAAGATCCAGGATAAAACAATATATCTGCAAAATGCCTCCTCTATGCTGCATTTTAAGAGGGATCAACATCTCCCATGGCTGGCGAGGTGGAACAGAGGGAAAATCTGGGAATCTGTTGGAGATGGTAAATGGTAAATGGTACTGAACTTATAGAGAGCTTTTCAAGTCCCTCCGGACCCCAAAGCGCTTCACACTTACAGACATTCACCCATTCACACTCACATTCACACACTGATGATGGCAAACTACACAGCTGCCCTGGGGCACACTGACAAAAGTTAGGCTGCCATGCACCGGCGCCACCGGACCCTCTGACTACCATCAGTAGGCAAGGTGGGTGAAGTGTCTTGCCCAAGGACACAACGACTGAGACGGCTGGACGGGGGAAATGTCTAACTTGAAAATACCTAAACAAATTGTTAGCAGGTAGACTGTACAGGTCCTTCTCAAAAAATTACCATATTGTAATAAAGTTCATTATTTTCTGTAATGTACTGATAATCATCAAACTTTCATATATTTTAGATTCATTGCACACCAACTGAAGTAGTTCAAGCCTTTTATTGTTTTAAAATTAATGATTTTGACAAAAAATTAAAGACAAATCAAAACTCCCTATCTAAAAAATTTTGCATATTTTATCCGGCCAATAAAAGAAAAGTGTTTTTAATACAAAAAAAAAGTCAACCTTCAAATAATTATGTTCAGTTCTGCACTCAATACTTGGTGGGGAATCATTCTGCAGAAATGACTGCTTCAATGTGGCGTGGCATGGAGGCAATCAGCCTGTGGCTCTGCTGAGGTGTTATGGAGGTCCAGGATGCTTCGATAGTGGCCTTAAGCTCATCCAGAGTGTTGGGTCTTGTGTCAAGCTCATCCAGAGTGTTGGGTCTTGTGTCAAGCTCATCCAGAGTGTTGGGTCTTGTGTCAAGCT